GTGAGGGCTTCGATTCAGGGAATGTAATCCTTTGCATCTGGTCATAGGAACGTATCTCCGATACTTTCCGTGGTCTAGATTTCGGCTGTAAACAGAAATTTCCGATGAGGGAACGTTGTTCAGGTGTTTGAGGTCGATAGCTTTTATTACGGATACGGAGGAGATCTCCAAGACAACTGCGTATTAAGCCCTGTCGACCGTACCAATGAATTCCCAGAAAGGTCAAAATTTTAAATGCACGACAAAGTTTGCTTCTCGCAGCGGAAATTCCCAAAGAAGTTCGAGGGCTCAGATTGTGAGGCGATGTTCACGGAATATATAGAGAAAGACCTGTTTGAGCTCCAGTTCACTTTGTTGGAGCAGTACTAGGTGGCGGTAGGCGCCATTTTTTGCGTCTCTTCTCAAGTTTTTTCCCCAAAGTGAACCCATGTTTTAAGTTATATAGGTCAGAACCCTAGACCCGTGTGGTTTAATCGACTTGGCCGTCGATAATGTACGCTTCTGTGAAGCTGGTCCAAGAGTGACCGCTGTAGCGGTTCAATCCGCTCATTTTCCATTTTTGATGATCAACTCCTGTTCAATAACAGGATAGCTTCTGGATACTCATGAGCTGTGCTGATCAATCGGACTGAACCTCGAGGAGGCGACCAGCAAGCGCAGCTGTCCCCGAATCTTAATTTACCATATTGGTCGACCAGGATGACTGATCAGACAATCATGGTAGGTCGAACTTCGACCCTGGTGTGAGCCACTCATCTCCGTGTAGGTCGGTCGGAATAGCTATAAAACCAGCATTCTGGAAGCGACCTTCATCTCGCGAACTGCGGGGAATGAATACCAGACAAACCAAACAATTAGACAAAACGAATAGGGAAATTTATCGCAAGAATGCAGAATTGAGGGGTAAAAGTCGACTCTAGATGGGACTCGAAACTGCAACTCCTGCTGACTAAGCAAGTGCGCTCATCATTAAGCGTAATGAATAGTGCACTCGCTCGGTCAACGGGAGATGCGGGTTCGAGTCTTTCATAGGGCCTGGCTTTTGCCCAAAACTCAGCACTGCTGTGTAGATTTAAGCGAGTACTGTGGCGCTGAACAGAAGCTAAGCAAATGAGGCAAATTGACTAGTTAGACTTAACACTTACGATTCACAAAAATATAACAATTAAACAACGTTCTGGGATTTTGTCCTTGATGCTTGAAGAAGCAGAGGGATCGCTGAATGGCATGAAGAGTTGGACTAAAATTGAAATCGCTTCACAAAAGCGACACTCAGCAGAGGGATCGCCTTGAATGGCATGAAGAGTTGGACTAAAATTGAAATCGCTTCACAAAAGCGACACTCCTCCGTACCATAGTAAAAGTCCAATCCAGAAGATTGGAGTTATGATTATGTCTGATCTGATGATTTAATGACAACGACGTCACGGCTGTTGGCATTAGACAGTCCTCCTCGTCGGTCGTGCAAGAAGCACAAAGCGACTTCTCTGATTAATTCCATTACATTCATTTGCAGGATCCGTTGCGTTTTACGTAAGATAAGAAGAAACAGGATGATTATTTGGTCAAAATGTGGAGTACTGCACTCGCATGCGGTGCCGTTGCGACGTCAACCGTAGGTAGCCTATGAATCTTTCGGTTTGAGCCCGGAATTCCTCCGCCAGCACAACATAGAGCCACCGCTATGTGACCGCGTTTTTGTTGCAAACGTAGGTTTCAGAAAAGTTGTATAATGGGGTTATGTGAGTGGAGAATAGCTGTGTTCAGCTGTCGTTCAATGTCGGAACTGCACGGATGTATGACATATTTGGCCTCGCGGGTAACATTGTTTGGATGGATCTTCACATGGACAAGGAAGGAAAAAGCAAGGTTAGATAGCCTAAGATATTTTTATGTGAGTGAGTTAGGCTGTGCTCATGCTTTGCGGCAGCAACGTGAGCGCTAGCGACTGAAAATGCGTAAATATCGATCCAGCGAACATGAGGGTCCAGGAGTGGAGTTTGGCGAAGTGGGAGTGTACGAGACGGCTGGTAAGCAAGAGTAAGAGGAAGCAGACACTGAATGTAGGCATCGTGAATTTGTGCGTCTCGTAGCCTGCTACAGCAAGCTAAAGCACAGAATTGTGATTCAATGTCGCGGTGTTGTGCAGGAGTAGGTGCAGCTTACACCGGCCCGCAGTTACTCGCCTATCAGGCTGTTGTCCCCCTACTCTACTCTACAACACTCTGCTACTATCCTTCCCCATACTATCCATTCCTGGACGCTGCCACAAATAATGAACACAGTCTTGGTGGATTTCATTCGCTCTTAGTAACAATTACAGGGTGTCTGTATTCTCCAATACTCACATCCCATTGAAGCAGTGCAAGCCATTTCAATGTTCAACGGACAGAAACTTTACGATCGTGTTTTGGTTGTGAAAAATGGATAGATTTGAGAAGGTGAGAAGAAGAAGAAAATATGATTTTTGCGCGACTGTTTCTGGCCTTAACGGTACCTGTTTAAGTTCCAGAGTGAACCTACTCGTGAGGGTGCTCTTCCGCGCGGACTTGAGGCTATTGGTGCTGGACTGGGTGCGAATGGAGCACCGCTCACAGATGTTGCTTCCGTGGTCGCATCTCTTCGTGGAGACGGAGGAATGGCTCCTATTGCTAGCGCTCCGGCGTCCAGTCAGGTTCTTTTCTTCACGACTCCTCATTCATATTTGCCTGTAGTTAAAAATAGTCGCATTTTGTTAAAGATTTGATGATGCCTAATAATATTGCAGTTCTCGGCGTTTGGAATGGGAACTGGTGGGCTGTCCAGCAATGCTGCTTTCCAGTCGTCTTACGCGTCGCATATTGCTAATGGTCAGAGCCTTGGAGGATTAGGTGAGCCGACCGACCCGATTCATTGATTTCAGGCAAAAATACTCACGAAATACGCGAAAATGAATCTTTTTTCAGGTGGATCTTTCTCATCTCTGGGTGCATTCGACGCAAGAAGAGGTTAGTTGTTCCCATCGCTTCCAATTGTTATCTTGATCAAATTCCTATTTTACAGATGATTCCTTTATTGGCGCCGACTCACGTAGAGGTGAGACAAAACTAGCAGGTGTGGTTGTGCTTGTGAACGTGTAAATTTTAAAAGCAGTCCTTCCTTGTTAAAGACACACTGTACTTCGGAGGTGTATGCTTTCTGTGCGCGAGAAAGGCAGATTTTCAGCCGTAAATGTGCACTTGCGCCATCCGAAAGAGTGCAACGTGAGGACAGAGCCATGATAGGTTGCTCCTTGTGCCTGCGCTCGCATTTCGGTGCGCGACACGTACGACACATTTACGCCAGACAGCTACGATTGGGCATATGACTGGCCGTATGGCGTGGCTGTTTCGTCGTGTCGCGTACCTAGTGGGGGCGGAGACAAGAGGAACACCAAACGGTCACAAGTTCTATGCTTCATTGACGCGCATTTTTCTGAACGGCGAGACTGCTCTATATACTGCAAAACCTCCTCTCGGGCATGGGAAGGCCACTTCCAAATAACCGTAAAGTGCGTCCTTAGCTGCGTCGCGACGTGCGTTTGTCGTTTTACGTGCTTTCATTAGCAGTAATGTTTCAGATGATCAGTTTGGCATGAACTACAGCGTCAGCCGTGTTGTTATTATTAGAAATGTAAGATTGTCAATTTCACTATGAGAAGCATAATCCTAGAGTACGTTACGTTTTCAGCTACCACCGGATTACACATGGCAAATCGTACGTGATCGAGTCCAACAATTCGGAGATGCAGAGTCTGTTGAGATGATTGCACCTGGAGTTGCTCGTATTCGCTTCGCTCTCATCCAGGTTCGATAATGATACAAAATAGCGCAGTATGGCAGCGGAGGGGCATTTTGCTTTTTTCTGCTTCCCATCGACGTGTCGAGCAAACAACTGAAGACCTGTGAACCTGATATTGTGAAGTCACGAGTTGCTGAGTTGATGGCCAACCTGTCAACTCTTGTAATTCATGATGAAATTCATTTCATGAGCTTACAGGAGATAACAGGTTTCATCACGGTGGCAATGAGCTTGCTCCAGCTTCACAAGAGTTCACAGGTTTCACCAGAGTAAGACGGGGACTAGTGAGGACCTTGCGTTTACGAGTTCGTACTGCTGGTAAACGTAAGGTAGTGACGAGTGGGGTTTCCAAAATGATAGAATCGCCTGGGTGCCCCTCCCTGTCGCCAAACTGCGACTGAATGATCATTTAATTTTCACCCACCGTTTCACCATGATATTTTAAGGATGCTGAACGCATGCGCGGAGCGCTGACTGGAACAACCGTGGAGGGCCGCACGATTTCCGTGGAGTACATGCATTAACGTCAGCGGCCAGTTGATTCTGAAGAGTACTCTGCCGCGCTCTTTTTTCTAGATTCTGTTCAGTATTTATTCTTTACTTCTTCATCACACTCCAGTCGTCTCGTAATTAAGTTTATTAGCAGTTGTTTTATAAAAAAACTTTTATGGCGAGTAGTTGTTCCTAAGGTTATTGTCTCGCTTGTGTCGTTGTGTTGTTACGTAGCTTATTTGAAAAGAGGGCAGCCACTACTGCCTGTTGAAGGGTAGCGGTGACTCTTCATGTTATTGTGCGGCTATTCCAAACATTTTCCTATCACGTGTTTCTTTTGTTATAATAAGATACTCATAGATTTCAAGTGTTCTGTTGATGTTTTCGTAAGATCACGTTTGGAAGCTAACCTTCAGCATATAAAGTGTTGCTTGTGTACGTGTGATTAGAACAAGATAGAAGACAGCGGGGAAAAGGAATGGTTCTGAGGATGATGGTTAAGGAGCGCGGTTGGAGGCAAAGGCCCTCCCAAATGAAGTTTCATCCTTAGGACAGAAGACAATATTTGACACGTAAAGGGGGGGGGGTAAGGACGTTAGGAGCTAGCTGTAGAGAGAGCTCTCCACCCCGGGGGGCGAGATCTCCGCCCACCTCAAAGTTGCTGTGTTCTGGTGCACTAGGAACTTCGTGTGCTGACTGCAGCCTGCAGACATTGTGCGGAAACTGACGACAACGTTATTACAGTTGCGGTTGGCACCAGACGACTAGAATGGTAGGTGTGAAAACAAAGCGACAAAAAGGACTGGGAAGAGGAAGATGAAGGCTCTGGTTCCTTTTGGCGAAGTTAGAGCCCCTATCTAACTGCGAGCATGAAGATAGCATATTGAGAAACTCGTCCGAACGCCGCGGTGTCAGAGATGTGAGTGGGGTCTTATCGAAAGCATTGCTGGCGTTTGTTTTCTTCCGTTTACTCATATGAGTGCCACATGGTGGTTCATATTTGAGAGCCATAACCTCCATTCCACGGCGCGGTTACGCTTAGTGGGACATTTCGCTGGTTCCCATCGATCACTGCCAGTTCCTTCTGTAAAAACCTGTGAAATCCTGTGAAGTTTCGCAGTAGCATGAGGTTTGTTTGGACTTGACGAGAGTTCACAGGTTATTCCAGGTGAGATGTGTAATCTAACAGGAACCTGCAAGAGAAGCTAGCGAAAGTGCAAAATGCCCC